TTCTTAACAAGCCAATTACTAAATAAGATAAATCAACTCCAAAGAGTCTAAACTAGAGTTTTGCTAAGTGCCAGAATAGCCCAAAACCACAGCTATATATTTCTTTTTTTGAATCTAAATTTATAAAAGATTCATCAAATATCTCTTGCCCACGAATATTATTTAATGTTTGAAATATGCCGGTTTGAAATTCAGTTTCAACTTGAATTAGTATAATTGATTTTTCTTGAACTTCTTCTCTTAACAAAAGTCCTTCTTTCGAAAATCATCTGGAAGGCACAAGTTTAATATTAAACTGTGCTTTTTTTGATTGAAGCATCACGGCAAAAAAATGCCTACAAACAAATCCCGCATAAACTAAATAAAGACAAGTGCAGTAATATGTACTATCATTGAATATGACCACATACTGAGATTTATTTGTAATAGTTTGAAGATGCTTAACCTCCCATATTTCACTCAAAACACCCTCTGAACAATCCTCCAAAGCCATGTTAATTAAAATTTGAGGTTCTTCATAATCATCCTCAAGAAACCCTTCATTATACTGATTTGAATTCTGCATTGTTATACTAATATCCTTAAGTTCATTTATCCGAACTCTATACAACAGGCTTTCCATCATTTGCTTCCATTGCAGCGCCAGCGAATTTGGTGTAAGATATTTTTTTAATATTTCATCCATCGAATTAAAAATAGTATTAGAGACCCGGGAATTCCAGTAGTAGGGTTCATATTCCAAAATTCTTGCCATTGTGAATATTTGGCTTCATCTTTTAGTTTTAATTCAACTCTGAACTGGAGTTAGCATAATAAATTTTCCAAATTTGCCTCTAATTTTATAACCCTATTCAAACTCTCTACGTGTTGGGTTGAATGTGTATTGGCTGAAAAGCTACCTTTGGTAAATGCATAAGCCCAGCATGTTTTGGTCGGATACAATACACGTTCAAAATATTTTTGAACTTCTGGGTATTTATTAATTAAATTTGTCCAACAGCATTCAAAAGCTATACTGGTAAGTGAATTGCACATAACATAGAAATCATTAATGAAAGTATCCCATTTACTTTGAAGTTTTGGTTTAATTTTCTTTATTAAATTTTGTCAAATATAAAAAGCACAATGTCTTACAATTGTCCTAGGATACTGGTTGCTTATCTAACCTGCATCGCTGGATCTGCATCAGTAAAAAGTATTTTTGGTTGAAGATTCCCTGTTGCATGCTTAGTTTGTTCTAGAACCCATTCATAAGTTGACACAGTTTCATCACAA